CTACAAGCAGTAACCCACTACTCTAGGTCACAGAACACATGGCACTACCTAAACAGTAGTTGCACCACCCCACCTAGTCTAACTACACTGATGATCAAACCCCCCCCGACTAATAGAACTCTCACTAGTGACAGCTAAGCCCTCACATTCGCAGTCACATGAGCTCCAGCATTATAACATGTTAGCTACGCAGCTTGGTACAGATTACCTGTTTGTCACTAAAATAAAACCTCAAGGACAACCTACTAACACCCACAACGTCAGCCACAACTATTGACAACTACTTGCAGGACATTCACTTACCACCTCTAAGCAGCACTCCTAAGCGCAATGCTTACCCTACATGGTACCCCCCAACAATGGACAGAAATTGAAGCATTCTGGCTCAAAATGGATATGCCACACCCTATATTCTGGACGGAGAGTAACCATAGACCAGACATATCTGAATGCCTACCCACCACTCGGTTGCCTATAAACACATGGGACGGGGTGAGAAAGATAATGACTAGCTACCCCAAAGTACCAATGGCAACACCCCTGCAAACCATTAGCATAACAATCCCCACATTTCACCACAAACCATGGATAGATATGGGCATCACACACATTCTCCACCTATACCAGGATGGATGCCTAAAAACATTCCCAAACCTAAAAGAACAATATGATCTACCCACCAGGCTCCTGTTCCCTTACCTCCAGGTAAAATAGCTTCTAGCGATTAACTTACCAACTGCATCCGTGCATGCAGCTAAAGACACTGTCTCGGAGTTCGAAAAGGCATGCCTGTCATGCAAGCCCACCCAGAAACCCCTCTATCAATGCTATTACATGCTATTACACAGCCAAACACCACTACACAAACCATACAAAGAGGCAGAGACATAGGAAGTGAGCTCAGCCCGATTCAATGGAAAAGAGCATATACAATACATAAAGGACTCACCTCCTGTGCCCAACACCTAGAAATCCAAAGAGAAATATTATACCGATGGTAGCTAGTAACAGAGAAGTTACATAAGATATGGCCAAACTCCACCAATACTGTAGGTGAAAGTTTAGGATCCAGTGATCATCAGTCAGTGTGGTTTAATATATGAACAGTCACACCACACAAAAACAAAAGTTTTAGACTTTAAAAAAACAGACTTTTCTAAAATTAGAATATGTGTAAAGGAGTCATAATCAGAATGGAGCAATTTAAATGGAGTCCGAGAGAAATGGGATTGTTTAAAAGTTGCACTGCTGAAGGCAACAGAAAATTGCATTAGGCTTGTCAGTAAAAGCAAAACATTCAAGAAACCACTGTGGTACTCCGCAGATGTGGCTAAAATAGTAAAAACAAAAAGTTAGTATTTAGTAATTATAAAATAACCCAGAGTGAGGAAGACAGAATTCTCTACAAGATTAGGCAGAAAGAGGCTAAGCAAGTTATAAGAGCTTCCAAATCACACACGGAAGAGAAAATAGCACAGTCAGTAAAAAAAAGGGGACAAAATTTTTTTTAGATACATAAATGAGAAAAGGAAAGTAAAACAAGGATTAGTTAGATTAAAAACAAAAGAGGGAAGGTATGTAGAAGAGGATAAA